CATCTCGACATCTAGAGAATGTGCATGTAGATCTCAGTGGTATCATCAGAACTAAAGGATTAAAGAATGAAATGTACTATGCGCTATTCTGTGATGACTTTTCCTCATACCGTCACATCTACTTCATGAAAAGCAAATCGAAAGAAGAAGTGTATGAAGTGTTCATGACATACATTGCTCTTGCGGAGAGACAGACCTGCAAGATGCTCAAACAATTCACCCTTGACAGAGGAGGAGAATTTGTGAACGAACTTCTCGGCACTGAACTTAAGAAGCATGGTATCACTCTTCATCTTACCGCTGCTCACTCACCTGAAGAGAACGGAGTTTCCGAACGAGGCAATAGAACTATTAGCACTAAAGCCAGATCCATCATGCTAGAATCTCACACTCCTCTCAGGTTCTGGGTTCAGGCGTGCAACACCGCCGTATTCCTAACAAATCGGACAATCACTGCCGCCCTTGAGAACAACAGAACTCCGTTTGAGGCCTGGCACTTTCGGAAACCTTCAGTTGATCATCTTAGGGTGTTCGGATGCCTGTCATACTCTCTTATTCGCAAGGAAGTTAGGGGATCTAAGTTTAATCCTGTGAGCTCACGGGGTGTTTTGATGGGGTTCGAGGAAGATAACTTCAACTATCACATCTTTGACATCAACTCCCAAAAGATTAACATTACTCATAATGCAACTTTCAACGAAGAAGTCTTTCCGTTTCAGAATATCATATCCAACAACTCTCCAGACACCAAACTGATCTCTGACAAATCCACTGTCAACACACGTTTCTTTGATGATGACAGTGAAGATGAAACAGAAGTGACCTCTGAATTGCCTTCGACTTCGACCCCAGCGGCGCCCTCTCTACCTGCATGCCCAGACCCTGTCATCACTCCTGCTGTCACGATTCCGAATGATCCAAAAGATTCACTCAGACGGTCTGGCAGGACAAAAGGGACGATCAAATACTCAGCTGTAGCTGTATGTGATGGACTCATTGATTCACTCATAACAGCTGCCTGGGAATCAGCATTCCGATTCGACCTTGACATTCCTGTCAGCAATATGGTGTCCACCACTCACGACGTTCCCAAATCTTACTCAAAAGCCGTCAAAGGACCTGAAGGAGATAGCTGGCTGAAAGCGTGCAAGAAAGAGATTCAGGCGATGCACGACAAGAAGGTGTGGAGGTTGGTTGACCGCCCATCAAAATCAAATATTATCCGAGGACTGTGGCTGTTCAGAAAGAAACCGACATCTGATGCAGAAAATCCAATCAAATTCAAGGCGAGATTTGTAGCTATGGGTAACACTCAAGTTGAGGGCGAAGACTACTTCGAAACGTTCGCTCCCACCGGAAAACCTTCGTCTCTAAGGATCATTATTGCACTAGCCGCCATTTTCGGCTGGGAGGTTCACCAAATGGACGCCGTCACCGCCTTCTTGAACTGTGACCCGTTTGAAACCATCTATGTCGAACAGCCTGAGGGATTCAAGAAACCCGGCGAAGAAGACAAAGTCTGCCTTCTACTCAAGTCTCTCTACGGCCTCAAGCAAGCACCAAAGTACTGGCAGGACGATGTTGAAGAGTTTCTCATCCAGTCAGGCTTCATTCAGTGCGAGGTGGATCATTGCATCTACATTCGTAGACGCGACGTAAGTTTCACGGTGGTCTACGTCCATGTCGATGACCTTGCCATCACCGGCAATGACATTCTGAACTTCAAGCTTGAGATCTCGACCCGCTGGGAAATGGAGGACCTCGGAATTGCGTCTACAGTGGTTGGAATCGAAATCAGGAGGGAATCTGAATTCATGTACTCGATATGTCAATCAACTTATGCTTTAAAAATTCTTGAGCGTTTTGAATCTACTGATGTGAAACCAGCGAGTACACCCTTCCCTTCTTCGCTCAAACTCTACAAGCCTGACCTTGAGGAAATTGAAGACTTCAAAACTCGTAACCTACCTTATCGCAGCGTTGTGGGATCCCTCATGTATCTTTCGCAATGTACGCGTCCTGACCTAGCTCATGCCGTAGGTACTCTCTCACAACACCTCGACTGGCCCGGCTTTAAACACTGGGACGCAGCCTGTCATGTTCTGCGGTATCTCAAAGGAACTTACAACATAGGTATTGTTTACTCCAGAGATTCGAACACAACGACATTGAAGGGTCTAAAAAGTGAACTCTGCCCTCAAGCTCTTTGCGACGCTGACTGGGCGGGCGACAAGGACACTCGAAGATCGACAACAGGCTATGTTTTCATTCTCGCCAATGGAGCAATCTCCTGGCGTAGTAGACTCCAACCAACCGTAGCTCTCTCCTCAACCGAAGCTGAATACAGAGCCATCACGGAAGCAGGACAAGAGCTCGTGTGGTTACGCACCATGATGACCAAGCTTGGTTATGACGACCCCAATCCAACTGTACTCGAAAGCGACAACAAGGGAGCCATTCATCTCACTAACAAGACAATCTTTCACAGCAGAACTAAACACATTGAAATACACTATCATTGGATCCGTGAAGTGGTAAAATCTGGCAAAATCTCCATGAAACACTGCCCGACCCATCTCATGGTTGCTGATCTGCTCACCAAACCTCTTGGCTCAGCTCAATTTGTCAAATTAAGGAAGCTTTTGGGTATAAGAAATATTTCGTGATGAACTTGAGGGGGTGTGTTGTGGTAAAAGATGCATTATTGGTCAAGTACATCACGTAGTTATCTGGATTAGAAGGTTAAGGAGGTAGTGTAGGATTCAAGGTATTTCATTTCAAAGTAGTGGTATGGTTTCAGGATTTGGTAGCTGGTCGAGTACAATTAGAAATCCCAAAGAAGGCAGTTCTTCTAATTCACATTCAGAGTCACGTTTAAAACATTTCCTAATTCGTAGCTTTTTATATTACACTGTTTTGTGTGCGTGTTTTGTATTCCTCTTTGGGATTAGTTGTTAAAAACTTTTGTAGCCAGGTTTTCCCTCTTATACCCTGTCTCTCTCGAGCTCTGGTTTCCTCCCTCACCGTGTGGAAACTGAAGCTCGAGAGTAAGTCTTTTTCTCTTACTACTAATGTGTGTGTCTTACTCTGGCGCGTTACTCATTCTCTACGATAGTCTTCCTACCACTTTCTTTTCATCCTGCTATTCGCAGGTGAGGCGTCGAACCTTCCGCCCTTCTTTCCTACCTTACGAGTTCACATAGAACTCAAACTACCTGTTCTGTCCAGGTGATTACTCATTTCTCTTGTCTATCTTAAACTAGTCTTTTTCTTTCTTTATTTTTGCTTGATGTGTGTGAATGAATTACGACCGTGTGGAAACTGAAGCTCGAGATCTTCCTACCACTTTCTTTTCATCCTGCTATTCGCAGGTGAGGCGTCGAACCTTCCGCCCTTCTTTCCTACCTTACGAGTTCACATAGAACTCAAACTACCTGTTCTGTCCAGGTGAGGCGTCGAACCTTCCGCCCTTCTTTCCTACCTTACGAGTTCACATAGAACTCAAACTACCTGTTCTGTCCAGGTACATCCCATCTTTGGCGTAGACATTCAGTCCGCCTGAACTCGTTTCAATATTAGCACCCCACTGGGCCCCAGGGCTCCCCCTGGGGTACTGTCGATTGGACAGCGGCAGGTTGAACCGCAGTGAGAACCGCGTCCCAGCACGGTTTTCACCCCAGTGTGACTTTGGTCAACTGAGTCCGCGGCGGGACCCCCGTGCTACCTCTGTGCTGCCACAGTTTGCAGGGGGGGCTTGGGTGTTGGTGAGGGGCATTCAGCCATACTCACACTACTGTCTCCTTATTTTACACAATTCTTTGTTGTGACGATACCTTGCTCTCATGTCACTTGATCCCAGGTAAAAGTCACCCTGTGGTATACATTTGATTTTTGCTGTTGTGAAACTCTGTTTTGTTCTGTTGAAATAGGATGAGTAATAGCAGGAAACTCATAGATTGCAAACCACAGCACCAAAAAAAGAGATAGAGGTCAGAAGAAAATCTTATAGTTACTATCTCTCTTGCACACAAATGAGAGGGATTTATAAGACCACATTAATAGTCACCTTGGACTTTGGATACTGATTTTGATCTGAATATGGTACTGACTGAGGAGGTGTATGGAAACCATCATCTGGATTCCCCACAAGACCATTCACCATGTCCGTGTAGGGTTTGCTTGTTGACAAGCGCACACCAACTCTCTTTGAGGCAGCAAGGGAAGTCGTGCGCGCTTGTCAACAAGCAAACACTACCCGGACATGGTGATTCCCATATTCCTTGATAATGTCCTTGTATAAAGACCTCCTTGAATTACAATCAGGCCTGTAGAATTCTAGCTCTGCCTGTAGTGCTTTGTCATCATGAACAGAAGTGAATTCTGAAATCAAACTCATAGCTCTCTTATTCCATTGAGTATCAGGTAAATGCTTTTCAACATCTGTAAATTTTTCTGGAACCAGTCACTGATTTTTTTTCCAAAGGTTTATAAAAGAATCAGAAGGGTCTGAAAGTCAAGAAAAGTTGGCTTGGTACCAACCCTGAGTGGAGTGACTAGCTGCCATGCCCATGAGTTGTGTATGAGAGAGCTATATTTTTGAGATAGCATTGCACATTTCAGAATTTCTCAACAAATGTCCAGAAAGACATGGTCAAGCTCTGCAAAATTCTTATTTTGTTGTACAAACCTGATGATTTTAAATCAGGCCATTCTAGCAATTGTAAATCTGATTTTAGATGTTTCCCTGTCAATGAGGGTGTAAGGAGTACACAAGGACAGACTTTACTTATGGGGTTTAGATTATGGGATTAAACAGGCAGGATTATATCTTCCAGCTCCACGCCCGGTTCTAGAAAGTCTTCACTCCTCTGAGAGCCTTTATGTGGACTTTCTGGAACCAGGTGAGCATTTCTCTTATTGTTTTCATATGTTTCTCTTTCATTTAGCGGGTCACTGACTCCTCTGAGAGCCTTTATGTGGACTTTCTGGAACCAGTTCGTAATTAATATATCGAAGTTCCAAGTTACTTGTCCCGTTGTGCTCTCTCGAGAAGTCGAGCCGGAACCTTATCCGGACGCTAGTGAAGGTTTCTCATTGAAACCTTACACTTTTTTAACTTGATCACTTCAACGTTATATACAAGATTCTACTTTTCAATCAAATCCTAGTCGCTACAATTTTTTTTCTTTCTCTTCAGTCACTTTCGGTTTTATATCTGTCAATCTGTCATATCGGTCATCTGTCAATTCTGTCATCAGCCCCCAGTTCGGATCTGTTATCTCACCCCTTGCTTTCGAAACCGAATCAACTACGCTATACTCAGACACATCGAATGAGTGGAGCAGCATCTCGTAACCCCGAAAACTTCCTTGACGATCCCGAGACTCTACTTCGTCAAGCTCGGAAAGAAAAGAGGGCAGCTGCTGTCGAATCACCTCCAGCACCACCAGCGCCGAGGTACCAGTGGAAGCCAGAAGCATTGGTGTCAGGATCGCCAGCTCCTACGGACCGAATACTATACGCAACCAGAAGCCGACCTAGTCCAGCAGAGGTGACTACTGTACATTTCTCGCCTCCTACAATTTCACCATCAGCTTCCGAAAAGACGGTCATCGACAAACATTTCCAGAAGCTGCTTGGAGACAACTTACAGACACCACACCCTCCAGGACATCTGGAAACGGAAACACCAGGAGCCACTACACCAAATGACATCTTTACCCAGGGGTATAGAAAAGTAGTGCGGGCATAGAAAACTATGGGTGAAGTACTTTTCTATACCCATAGAGATAGTGTCCTCTCTGCCTAGACATACCATTCTGCTCTATACCCACAGATGAAAATATCCACATGACCACAGGGACTGAATATAAATTTAGACTCAAAGCCCTTCTTGAGCCTTGTCCAATGGGAAAGCATGGTCCATCAGTCATATTGTACACCCACTTCAGCAACCGGTGTGTGAACTATGCAACCGACTGTGCACCACCAAAAAAGTGCAGTGATTTTCGGTCGCATATGTCACCTGAAAATCTCGTTCGGTAAACAAAAATGCAACAAAAGAGACACACGGATTTTTGCACATATGTGCAAAGATTGTGCGCATTCTTGAAAACAACTCAAAGTCAAATATTTTCAAATTAATGCGACTGCAACTTTTCATTGTTCTCTCTTCTCAAGCCATCACCACCTGTTATTTCGGACCTCACCATTTTTTTCTTTGTTTTCTACAAGTCCTTTTCTCTTCAATTGCACATCATTCAAATCATCACCACCTCAACCTTTTTCTCTACTTAAACTTTTCAATCTCAAATCCATTCAATCTCATCGTGGTGTTGATTCAGACTCGAATCCAACTTCCTCAAAAGACTTCATTTCCACCAATTCAACTTTGCTGCCAACAGTGAAGAGCTTGGTCATTGACCATGTTATCATCAATCAAATTGCTTAAAAAATAATTGCAGAAGTTGAACGGGTAGATGATATTGAGAGCAATGAGAGCAATTAAGTTTTTTTTTGGTTTTTGAACTCGATCAACAAATGACCTTGTTTACCAAATGGTAAAAGACACCATTGTGATTCATTATCACCGTGGTGATTTTGCTTTTTATTTGGTTACCAAACCTTTCTAACAAGCACACTGTTGTGTGGTTTTACATATACATACATGGTGAGAAATTTTCTCACCGTGATGTAAAAGTTGCATTAAATTATTAATGCAACTTTTTTTGCCAAAGTGGGTGGTACATATGTAAAAAGTGTCTGTCAATCTGTGTAAGATTGTGCATACATACTCACATACATTGCTGAACATGGTTGAGGATCTCTTTTATCACCATAGAATTGTATTTTAGGATAAAAGTATCAAAAAACAGAAAATTGAGAGTCTGCGCACTGTAGCACTGCCTTTGGGTCCCAATACATACAGCTGAGTCAGGGCAAAGATAATACTCAATTTCTCAATCTGAAATATCTTATATAGGTTTATCAAAAGCATTTTTTATTGGTATAGAAAAGTACCCTACCAATAGTTTTCTATGCCCACACTACTATTCTATACCCCTGGGTAAAGATGTCATTTTTTGTAGTGAGCTAAACTGATTGACAGCACCCTCTACGCGAGTACTGCGACGGGGGAACCCTCAAATACCATGTCCAACGATCAGGAAACGATCGAATCACTACGACAGCAGGTTGACAGCCTGCGCATTCAGAATGAGACTCTAGCTCAGAATCGTCAAGAGACGCTCTCCCTCCAGCGAATGGTCCGGGACTTGATGGCTGAGCGTTCGCAAGCTTATACTAGTCCAGGCCTGGTAGGACGTGAAGGCTTGGGTTTGGGTCGCACGGGTCAGACCTTCAATCAATACCTGGGTCAAAGTCCAATATCGCCTAGTCCGTTACCTCGGGAGTCTACAAGACATTCTCACGGTCCCGTGGCCTCAGAAGCAGTTCCTGTCAACGCACCAACATCAGGAAACGAACAACCTGAAGAGGACGCTCAATACGCTGAAACCAACCCACCACCTGCCGCGAATGCAGCTGCTGCGGCAGGGTACCAGACGTCGACGCCAGTATCGGGTCCCTTACCACCAGCTGGTTACACACCATACCATCATGCCTACTATCCGATTCCACCATACCAGCCACATCCAGTCGCACCTCCACCTATGACAGCAGATCGCATCAAGCTGAGCGACCTTCCTAAGTTTAACGGCAAATACGGTCATCCATCAGACTTATTCCACTGGCAGGATATGATAGAAGAAACGTTCGATGTCAAGAATCTGTCCGACGATCAAGAACGTGTAAAGCTTCTGGGATCTCTTCTTAATAATGAAGAGTTGTCAGCCTGGTATCAAGCAAACAAGGATTCTCTCCGTCAACAATCCTGGAAGACCGTTATGGAAATGATGGCAAAAGGGACCTTACCGCACGCTTGGTTGGCCGATACAGAAGAAGCACTGCGACGACTTCAAATGAAACCTTCGGAATCTTTCGATGCTTACGTTACTCGAGCTCAGGGATTGCATCGCTTGGTAAAAAGGTTAAGCGGTGTATCAGATAAAAATCTAGCTGAGTACATTACCTGGGGAGTGCCTCGACTATTCAAGAATATGGTGGAACGAGAAAAACACCTACGAGTCGAACCATTCTCATTTCCTATCTTCAAGGACGCAGCTGATGGTATCTGGCGATTCCTCACGGATAGCAAACTGTTGGCGGACGGTTCAGTACGAGCTAAAGCACCAGCAACCCCTGCAGTTTTGGGTTTGACGACACCATATCAACCTTGTACCTTAACTCAACCTAGAACTCGCTCAGATGAAGAAAAGGCCGACAATGCCTGGAGGTATCACGAATACCTCCGTGCCTCGGGTATCTGTGCCGTCTGTAAAGACAAGTGTGGTAACGCAGCCTGCACTAAGAAGAACACCCGATTCCTCTCAGTACCCTCTGACTTTAACCCGGGACCACGACCCACAAAAACGTCAGCGCCGACTACACAAACCAGACCACCAGGAGTTTCAACGCAACGTCCAGCAGGCCGACCATCCACCACTGTGTCTCAATCTCGTGTTGCCGCGATAGACACCTTCCCTGATATGTTGACCCAAGACATTGCCGCTTACGAGGAGGCGGATCGACATCGAATGGGGATGATAGAGGAGGACGCTGAGGGTGCCGAAAGGTGCGTAAACTCTGCATCTGTTTCGCCGATTATTCTGGAGCTGATATGTAACGGAAAATCTGTACGCGCTCTAATCGATTCAGGAGCTGGTACGAACCTCTTGTCGAACAAAATGGCACAGCAGTTACGAGTGGTACGGAGACCGTTGGTGGCGCCGGTTGAGGTACGCTTAGCGATCTCTACCGAGGGCGAACCTCTCATTCTGAAAGAGTTTGCGATAGCTAATCTCAAGTGTGACGACCCCAGCCTTCGGTTTGGAACGGTTTTTTTCAAGTTGGCACCATTAGGAGGAAGCTATGATATGATTTTAGGTTCCCCGTTCCTATCAAAATTCAAGCTTGACATTTCTCTTCACCGACGATGTGTATTACATACTCCTACTGGAAAGATTTTGTACGAAAAGGCCATGAAATCAGAATTGAATCGTGTCCTATGTGCCATTCATAACCTTGAACAAATCAGCAAAGCTCGTGATATGAGCGAACGAGAGTTGTCTGTGCTGAAGGATTTTGAAGATATTTTCCCGGCGGAACTGCCTCCAGTGGAGGAGGGTGATCCGCCGGATGAAACTTTTCCAGAGGGATTGCCGGAAGCGAGCAGGAAGGTCCGCCATAAGATCATACTCACTGATCCCAATGTGGTGATCAATGAGAAACAATATGGTTACCCTCAAAAGCATCGAGAGTCTTGGCGTAAACTACTGGACCAACACCTGCGTGCCGGACGTATACGGCGATCCCAGAGCCAATACGGCTCTCCGTCAATGATCATTCCGAAGAAGGATCCAACGGAATTACCTTGGTGGGTGTGTGATTACAGGACACTGAATAAGTATACTGTTAAAGATTGTGCACCCTTGCCCAATGTCGACGAATCAGTTAGATTGGTGGCCACTGGAAAAGTTTGGTCTGTGGTAGACCAAACAAATTCATTTTTTCAAGATAGAATGAGAGAGGAGGACATCCCGCTGACGGCGGTGAAAACTCCCTGGGGATTATATGAGTGGGTGGTCATGCCAATGGGGCTGACAAATGGACCTGCGACGCATCAGGCTCGAAATGAAGAAATTTTAGGTGAATTAGTAGGAAAAATTTGTGTAGTTTATTTTGATGACATTGTGATTTTCTCTCAGACGGTTGAAGAACATGAGATTCACCTACGTCAAGTTCTTTAAAGGCTACGACAAGGAAAATTGTACTGCTCAGTGAAGAAGAGTAAACTTTTCAGACGTGAAATAAAATTCCTGGGTCATATCATCAATGAAGCAGGAGTCTGTCCGGACGACGAGAAGGTGGAAAAGATATCCAAATGGGCTTCCCCGACTAATGCAAAGCAATTGCTGAAATTCCTAGGTACTGTGCAGTGGATGAAAAAGTTCATCGATGGACTTTCTCATTACGTTGGAACACTATCTCCGCTGACAAGTACTTCCTTAAAAGGGAAACCTTTCCAGTGGGGAGAGGCTGAAGAGTTTGCTTTCAACAACATCAAACGGCTTATCACAACACTCCCGGTCCTTCGCAACCTAGACTACGATTCCAACGAACCACTTTGGCTATTCACAGATGCTAGCGGAAATGGATTGGGCGCTGCCTTATTTCAAGGAACTAAGTGGGACACAGCCTCACCAGTGGCGTACAAAAGCCGGACCATGAATCCCGCGGAGAAAAACTATCTGGTGCATGAGCAGGAGCTCCTTGCGGTGATTAACGCATTAAATAAGTGGAAATTACTGCTACTAGGAATGCGGGTCAACGTCATGTCAGACCACCACTCCTTGACAAACCTCCTGACGCAGAGAAACCTCAGCCGACGACAAGCACGATGGTTGGAGACCCTCTCGCAGTTTGATCTCGATTTTAAATATCTACGAGGGCAGGACAATTCTGTAGCTGATGCACTTTCAAGACGAGATGATATAGCTTTGTGTGAAGTACGAGCAGCACTCAGGGAAGAAGAAATTCGGATGATCCAAGATGGTTATAAAGATGACAAGTTCTGCCTCAAGCTTCAGAAGGTTGTACCTTTACGTGAAGACTGTGTTTTAAAAGATGGCTTATTGTACCTTGATGGACGCTTGGTCGTCCCGGAACACTGTAGTCTGCGTCGCGATTTTATTTCACAAGCACACAGAGCTCTAGGCCACTTGGGCCTTTTAAAAACCTTAGTGCGACTCCGTAGCACATTCTTTTGGCCGAACATGGCGAAGGAAACCGAAACACTACTGAAATCATGTGACTCGTGCCAAAGAATTAAGGCAAGGACAACTTCTTCAGCGGGCAAACTTCAAGTGACTGATGTACCAGAGAGTCCGATGGAATCAATAGCAATCGATTTCATAGGACCATTTCCTAAAGTTTCGGGGTATGACATGATATTGTCATGTACATGCAGACTAACCGGTTTTGTTAGGCTAATTCCTACTTCCCAAAGAGACACAGCCGAACGTACAGCCACCAGATTGTATACAGCATGGTCATCCATCTTTGGCCTACCCAAATCGATCATCGGGGACCGAGATAAGGCATGGACCTCACGGTTCTGGAAACACCTGCATGCATTACTTGGAGTCAAAGTCAATTTGTCAACATCTTATCATCCACAAGCTGACAGACGGAGTGAACGCACGAATAAAACAGTGGGGCAAATTTTACGCCACTACGCGGCGGAGAAACATGGTAAATGGTTCCAGTCTCTACCGGCGGCGGAATTCGCCATCAACTCAGCGGTGAACATCTCTACGGGCGTGTCTCCTTTCCATTTCGTCTATGGCCGTATCCCGCGTCTTTTCCCAATTCAGACCCCTCTCGAAGATGAAGCAGACGATGTGAAGCATTGGATAGAAAGGCGGCAAACAGAATGGGCAGGTTGGAGAGATAGAGTGTGGTACAGCCGGGTAGAGCAGGCGTCGCAGTACAACCTTTGACGAAGGGAAGGGAAACCTTTCACACCTGGAGACCATGTCATGATTGACAGTGCTGACCGGCAGCAAATTGTCGGTGGGAAGTCTAGAGGCACCGCTAAGCTCCGAGCACGTTACGACGGCCCGTTGTAGAACTTATAACCCAACAAGGGTTATACAGAGCTGGAAGAGGATAATCTACTAATAAAATGACTAGTAGAAGTTGTCTAAGGACTGCTCTTCTAAAACAACACAATCAGAAAGAGCTCTGTTGTATTGAGTACTGATAAGGCACCAGAGAAATATAACTTCACACGTAATTTAACTTCAAAAGCACACTTTGTATTACTATCAACACTGCTATAGTGTTATTCCCAATTGATAACTAAAGAAATAAGCAATATCTGATTGATATTATTCCCAATAAGTCTTTATGACTATAAAACTAAAGTAAATTTCTCTTTATAGCTGTAATAAAGGGCGTATTTAAGTGACCAGGTACTATTAAAATAAGTTTATGATGATAAACAAAATAATAATGGCGTAAATGATAAAGAAAAAAAGGGGAACAACAGTCCCAAAACCCTCTCAAAGTATATATAACAATGTACTAGAACTTTTACAATGGTCAACAGCCTCAAAACCAATCAAATCCGCCCAAAATTCCCTAAAAACCCTATGATGACGCAATGTAATGGTTTTGTTACTAATAAATGATGTA